TACGAGAGTGTCAGAGGGTGGGCGGAGCTTTTTCTGTAAACTGGGATTTTAAGAAAACTACATTAAGAAATAGCATGTTCATAAAGAAAGTGTATTTTATTACTTAGTAGGAAGGACTGGTTCGTTTTCTTTTACTCTGGTGGAGTCTCTGTGGCTTGTCTTGTTTCTTGTGCCCTTTTTTCCCTGGATATTCAGAGGGATCATTGAAACGTTAAGTGTAACAATATCTGTGTCCACCAGGGGGCATAATTGTTCTACTCTCATAATTTCAGCTCGTTTTGATTGTTACAGTGATAACTCATTTCTCATTTTAATAATACAAGGAGAGCCCACGATATTTGTTTTTATATTCTCAAAGAAAGTTCGGCATGCTCAGTTTGAGTTACAAGAGAGAAATGAATTTCCTTTGCGGTACCTAATGCAGCTCCAAATGTTATGATAGTAAAATTTTTAAAAGCTGTATTAAGGCTCTGGCTTTGTCCTCAGCCCACCTTATGGTGTCAGCCTCTTGCTCTGCATAGAATACGCAAGCTCACAGGGCGTTTTGACTATCAGCGCCTAGGGGGTGGGATGGGTGAGTTAAGGTTACTGTGGCAGTTTACATCTGCTTTCTTACCCCTTTTTGCAGTTGAATTTAAGACTGTTATTAGAGGTATGAGGGCAGGTTGTTCATGGCATTGAGACATGTGGAAACAGATGAAGCCTGGTACAAGCCAGCCGTTTACCTGTACTGTGTTTCCATCATTTCCTCCATCGGGCACAGTTCTGTTTTCTTAACTCGTCCGGCGTAGATAGACTGTGCTGATGAGCCTTGCTCGGCTCTCTCTGTCATGCAGAACGTTCTCATCTGTCTCCTTAACTCGAGAGCGAGGGTAGCGTTTAGAGGCCCTGGAGTCACACACTCTGTGTTTATATAAGTCCTTTTTCTGCTGCTTACCAGCCTTGTGACCCTGGCCAAATTATGTAACTTCTCTGACCCCCAGTTTCTTCATTTGTGAATGAGAGTGATGATATAATTATTGGAGGCTATTAAAACAGTAATCCCTATAAAGAGCTTAGAACGCTGGCTGGCGCATAATAAATTCTTACATGTTAAAGTACAGTTGTTACTTTATCAATATAACCGTTGAATCTTTAGAAACCTTTTCTTGATACATCGTCATCATTACTTACTGATAATTTTGCATCCACATGCTATCCTACTTCTAGACTATTATTTTATATATTTATGTTTTTCTTCTGTTGCCTGTTTGGTTTCTGTTGTTTCAAGCTACTGCAGGAAATAAGTTCATTTTTCTTTTGTGTTTTGGCCTGCCATTTGCTCCGATGTTCTGTACACAGTAAGGGTAGCTCAATAAATGTTTGATTAGGCTTTAGGAATTTTGTAGATTTTCTTGATGAGTCTCACACTCTACCTTTAAAGTGGTGTTACCCTGAAAACACACTTACTCACCTGTGCTTTCCATAATGGTAAGTTCTCGTCAGAAGAAGCCAGCGCTCTGTACGGTCTGTATATTTCTTAAAGAATCAGTGATGCCTTCTTTATCCATGATGCATATCTTTATCCATCATAATTTAAGTGGCCAGTTCTTGTTTCCATAAGAATTTTCAAGTTTTTAAAAATACTTCATTATGTGATGATTTAGATTGTTTTTGAAGCAGAGCACACTTGATTCGGTGACCGATTCTTCTGATTCTTCTGGCACCCAGATGGCTCCCTGGTGCTGTCCCCTGTGCACTGGGGAGGGCCTGTGGGCGCAGAGGCCCAGGCCTGGCCCGGGGAGATGTCCTGGCATTTCCTCAGGCAGCGGACTTTGCCCCTGGCCCTGACCGCAGCTCCCCTAGCGACACTCACTGCCTGCGCCGCTGCTCGCCCCCAGAGCAGACGACTCACCTTTCGTCCATCGGAGGCCGCGTCAGGATCGCTGTTGCCGGAGATGCGTTCGGGGTCCGGGCTTTTGTTATCTGTGTTTCTAAGCCATTTGTTCCAAGTGGTTTGTGTTCCTCTTGCTTTCTCGTTTCTTCCTTACCCACCACCCTAAGCGTCTGGTCACCCTTTGTTTTTCATGAGGGCCATTCGGAGTGGATTTTATTTTCTTAGGTCGAAAGCTCATTTTAGCTTAAGGGAATCACATGGGACGGTTTGGACAAGGCACACTTTCCATTTTCACCATGTCCCATCAGCAGCTCCTGGCATGCTCTGTCAAGGAGCAAGGTAGGTGCTGGGGAAGCATCGGAGGTTCCAGAAAGTGTGACCGCTGGCCATGTCCCTCTGATTGTTAAAGGGAATAAGCGCTCAGGACTATGCAGCGAAGGATGAGGCAAGGCCTGTCACCAGCATTATTTGTACAGATGGCAGTATTCATTGTGAATTGACTGTAGTCCAGAGCATTCCGTGAGGAGTAGGGGTGTCGCTTTCACAGTTAGGTGATAACCCGGCCCTACTGGGCAGAGCTCCTTCCTGGACTGTCCGGGGGCTGCGGAAGGGAAGGCAGCCTGAGAGGTACCGCCGTGCCTGTGCCCCTCATTCAGACGGGGCCGCGGCTTTCTTACCCACCCCCCACTCACCTCGCGTGCTGCCGTTACGCGGCTGGAAAAGAACCCCAAGTGTCGAATTGCGCATCCCGCAGCACCCCAGCACCCCAGCATCCGCTGGGCAAGTGTTTGTCTATCTGCGTGGGACATGGGGACAATGAAAAGAGTGAAAGGTGGTGTTTTTGATAGTGTCACAAGTTGCCAGGTTCCCCGTACAGTCACCTACTTCATCACACCTTCCAGGCGCCTGGTGGACATTCCAGGTGACATCATGGAAGTAGCTGTGATAGTGTCTCATTTGCTTTAGGGTTGAGTCTTCAGCATGGTCTCGAGGAAAATCTAAAAGCCGTGTGGTTTTAAAGGCGGCCTTAGCCAGCACGCCTGGCCGCGTGTGTCGTGGTAAATGTCACAGCGGCCTCGGCCACCGCCATCAGGATCCACGGCTGCAGCGTCTCCACCGCCAGCCAGTGTTTATGTTAAACAGGAGAGCAAATGACAACCGTACATTCAAAGAATGCTTTTGTTTCTCTGAAATTTTCAGCTAAATCTTTTAGCTAATTCTGGTTGTTGACATCAGGGACAGCTTAATAGCCTCTGTTACTGATGCAGCAGCGCAGCTAGCGCAGAGGCCACCTGCCCGAGCCGCGGGCAGGGCAGGCTCCCGGGGCAATACGCGCTCAGCCCTCACATTTGCCTAGAGAGCACGAGACCAGCTGGTGGCCGTGTACGTGGCACACGCTCCGACTTGGCTCAGGCAGATAACTGTATCAGGAGAGCTGTGGCCTCGCAGATCTGAGACTGCGTAGCAGACATGTGGGGTTCATGCACTGTTCCCTCCTCACCCGGTGTCGAGAAAAGACACCTGTGAAGCAGACCTGCTCCAGGGTCGACCCTCGAGTCACTGTCGGTCCCTCTCCCCCTGCAGCGTTCTAGACCCGAACACTCTCACTACCCAGTTTCGATCATCTGAACCGAAGTCGTCATCCCCCCACCGCCCCCACGTGCTGCCATTGCCGTCTAGGTCCCCTCCAGGCCGAGTGCCACCCATCCAACAGAGCTCTGGCCAGGTGTGCGGAACCACCTGTTCATGCAGCCTCGCCTCACGGTAGCTTTTTTCTTTTTTTCTTTTTTTTAAAGACCCTTAGAGCAATTTTCCCATATTTGGCACGGTCTACCCTATTGTGAAGTAAAAAGCAAGGGACACACTTTGGAGTAACGTCTTCCCTGGTTTTTAAAATCACCAGTTTCAGCTTTTGTGACAGACCGAAGTCATTTGGTTTGGCATTTGCCAACTCTCGGGTAAACTGGAATTTTACTACATTCTGAGCAAAGTAACCAGTCAGTTTGTAAGTACCTTAAATGTTAAAAAAGGACATAGAAAACGAGTGAGTGCCTCAGTATGGAAGTTAATATTGAGTTGCACTGTATGTAGTTACTATTCGAATTAAGTTGCCTTTTTTTATCAGTGGAAAATCTTTTCCCCCTAGTATTAGAATATATGCTAATAAAAGTGAAATATTTTTTCAAATTGATTTCTTTTTCCTAACTTGGTTGTCAGTTTTACCACAATTAGGAACGATGGTTGTGGCGTGATCGAATAGCGGACTGACACTTAGAAGCCCTGACTTTTATTAGGTGTCTGCTGTGTGCTGTCTGTGTAGCTGGGCAAACGAACCTCTCGGAGCCCGTTTTCAGCCCTGTGAAGCGTAAGATCTGGGGGGGAGAGGCACCAGGGGCTAGTGCGAATAACTGTTTGTTTCATCTAATGTTATGCTATTTGACTTTTTTTTTTTAGTTCGTGTTATTCTGTACTTTTTATAAAGAAAAGTCATCCATGAATATAAGGAAGTGCTGTCCATTAACAGTAACTCATTTTTCTGGAAAGAAGACTAGAAAATGTAGAGTGGGAATAGATTCATCTTTGGGGGTGACAGCTTCTGGGGACTGAGTCAGTTTTCCTGGGTGTTTCCTTAGTGCTTGGAAGCTGGCACTTACCATCTTGTGTTGAGTTTGAAAGCAAATACCAGACATTGGTTCATGTAATTTATCTCTTAGATTTTTTTAAACATAACAATAGGTCGTTTGTTCTTCAGCCTCGGCTGAGACTAAAAACGAACCTCAGTTTAATATTTTTTACTTCTAAATATTTTTCAGAGCACCAATGAAATACTTGCGTATTATAGAAAATTTAAGTAGAACCAAGTTTTAAAAAAAAAATGATGATCTCGCCATCCAGAGATAAGTACTGTTTATTTGAGTATATCTTCAGCCATTTCTCTGTGAGACGTGTGTTTGTAAGATCCACAGTGGGATCGTATTATCCGATTCTGTTTTGTGACCGTCTGCTTCCTAATGTTTATCTGGTGCCTGGCGGCCTGAAGCACGCTCACGCCGCCCACGAGTCCAGCGCTCACAGACTGCGCTCTGCCCGCGGTTGTTCACTGGCCTCTTGTCTTGTTTTTCAGTGGACGAATACATTGCCATTGCCAAAGAGAAGCATGGGTACAATATGGAACAGGTAAGGACGTGGCTTTCTTTCGTCGTTGAGATGGGTTTTTAGAGCTAACCCGTTAAATGTGTTTTGTCGTGTGTGTGAAGTAGCAGCGTTTCTTCATCGGCGGTTTCTGGGAGGTTACTCGTGGTCTCACACAAGGCCCCGGTCCCCGGTCGCTCTCTGAGGTGTGCGTGAGAGGCCCTTGGGTTTCAGAGGCCCCGTGGATCTGCAGACCTGCAGTTCCGGCGGCAGAGGCCCCGAGGGCTGGGTTCTTGGGCACAGCGCTTTCTTACTTGAATATGTGGTTTGTCGTTTTTGTGGTTGTGTGATAGTTTTTTCCTGACTCATGTTGTCACACAAATCTATAGTATTTTAATATTTATTGTTTGAATCACTTTCAAGTTGTAAAATTGGACTAAGGCTTCCTTTTAAAAATCGTTTGGAGCCTATTTGTGAGAAATCCATGAGATTTATTTTTTCTCCAGAAGTGCAGTATCTTATTTCAAAGCCTTATTTCTAATTACTGTTTTTAAAATAAGCACATTAAGTTAGATTAGTGCTTTCCTTGGCATCGATCTAGATTTTTGCAGCCCGTAAGTTACTAACATTTCTCATTTACCCGAATGACTACGGGTACCAGCAGTTGAGGTTATATGGAATTGGATTCTTTGTTCAGCCTTGGCCTTATTTTAATTATTCTACCCTGGTAGAACTGTTAGAAAAGCCAGTTACAATAAGATAGTTCCAGAGTCTTACAAAGCAAAAAATATATGCTGCTCCTTTTCCATCCCTACTTACAAACTTAACCCAAGTTGTCCAGAAAAGTCATCAGTTTTTTATTTTATTTAGAAAGTGTAAATGTTATTGGGTGATTGCTAAATATAGGAATTATTTAAGACTTCTGGCCTTTTAAAAGTGTGACTGTTTTTACTTTAGAGTTGTATTACAGGAAATTTCTCAGGAAAATATTCCAGACTTACCTTTCTCGTTTCTAAGTTGTTCCTCACCCATTTGTATTTTTTTCCTTTCTGAGCTGAGAAAAAAAAAAAGTTTTATATTTGCGTTTTGGGGGCAAAAGAATAACAGTGCAGTTGCGTGCTTTTCTGGCTCAGCCCCCGCTCCGTGCGCGGGGCGGCGAGTGCAGACGGGGGCCGCGCTGCTGCTGCCACTTGCTGGCGCTAGGACGTTGGCAAGTCCCTCCGTGTCTCAGGGCCTCCGTGTTCTAAGCTGAGAAGAGAGAATAATGGACCCCTGACCTCAGGGCTTGTGGGATGAAGGAGTTAGGCTGCGTCGGCCGCTTAGGACCACACGAGTGAGCTGTTTGCTTGTCTGGGTGCGAAGAAGCACACGCTCTTCTTTTGCCAACCTCATTTCCATTTTGATGTCACATTCCCGTTTTTGGTCTAAAATTTCACCGATGCTATTTTTCTAGGCTCTTGGGATGCTCTTTTGGCATAAGCATAATATTGAAAAATCATTGGCTGATTTGCCCAACTTTACCCCCTTCCCAGATGAGTGGACTGTGGAAGATAAAGTCTTGTTTGAGCAAGCCTTTAGTTTTCATGGGAAAACTTTTCATAGAATTCAACAAATGGTGAGTAGATGAGATGTTGAATCCCCACCCACCCCAGCAGCATACCTGAGGGATAGGAATGTCATCTGCAAGCATGAGCAGTCTCATTTTTAATGAAGCTCGCTTTAGGAACAGCAGCTCACTGCTTATCGTGGGCGGGCGGGAGGCTTCAGATTACAGCAGTGAAGCGGTTCCTAGAACTTCCCAGTTTGAAGGCTGGAACTCAGCCCCCGCCCCTCCCGCCACCCCAGGCTCCCCTGTGGGGACTCCCCAGCAGCTTAGTCCAATAGAAAGGATCTTTGATGGTTATTTGAGCTAGAACATCCTGGATCCCTGTCTGCCTGGGAAAGGCATGATTTTTTTTTATGTTCTAGAATGCTCTTTGGCAGACCCCTACCATGAAAGCTTATTGACAGTTACATTAGTGCTAAAATGAATTTTTAAAAAAGAACCCAAAAATTATGTTAGAAACTTGAGGTGTGTGAAAACCGATTCATCTTAAACTGACTGTACAATCTTTCATGAGCTAAGTTTCACTTACAGTCAGACTTCAGCAATTTTTAAATGTGTTGAGAGTAGTTTCGTGAATTTTTTCCTTGTTAGAGAAAAAGGACCGTGACTGATGGTATTTCTGAGTATGTGACAATGATCCTAATTAAGTGTGTCTAATCACATTTGATTTTTTAAAGGTTAGCCTTAAATGTAAGCCAATTCGTTTTTTATATTTAGCTTCCTGACAAATCTATAGCAAGTCTGGTGAAATTTTACTACTCTTGGAAGAAAACGAGAACCAAGACCAGCGTGATGGATCGCCATGCTCGCAAGCAGAAGCGGGAGCGGGAGGAAAGGTCAGTAGCGCCTGGGGGTGCCGTGTCACCCCTGGGAATCGTCTGAGTCCTGGAATTCCTAAGAGCTGGTGGACACACAGGGAAGGCGGGGTGACTGGATTTCCCAGTACCTTCCCGCTGGAAACACCTTCCACAGACACCCTGCACTAAGGATTCGTGCGCCGTGCGAATGAATCAGTGTCCCGTGGACCTTCCTGCCTGTCCCCTCCCGCCCCTTAAGGGCATCTCCTTTTAATAAAAAGGAGTCTGTTATTCCCTAAGTTGACATTTATTTGGTCCGTTCGGGCAGATTCATTTGACATGTTTTTCTGTCTGGCGTGTGAAAAGACGCAGTGCCGTGGAGCTCGCTTCTTCCCTCTTTGACCATCCATCCGCTTAGTGCGTGCGAGCAAGAGAGAGAGAGAGAGACAGAGAGACAGAGAGACAGAGAGAGAAACATGCCGTGGGGAGGATAGCGCGCTGAGCGGCTGCATCTTAGCCGTCACTTCCTCAGTCTGGTCCGCAGCGCGGGGAGTGGGGCGGCAGTGTGCTGTGCTCACACACACGAGGACCCCTCTCGGCTCCGAGGGAGAGTCTGCTCATCCCCGCGCAGCAAGGTTTAGCTCAGCGAGCTCCCCCCGCCCCCTCCCCGGGCCGCTTCCTCAGCTCTAGAGGGAAGGCGCTGCAAGCCCGGGCGTCAGTGCACAAACGTGGCGGTTCTGCGTTAGGTTAGTGCTAATATGAGTGAGTGTCTTTTTAAAATGATATTTTCCATATTTTCTGTGATACTTTATTTTTGTAAATTAGTGATTGGCCTCATCTCAGGAGAATAGTACATGGTTGCAAATGAAGGAGAATAGCGTGAGAACAAATCGAGAGTTGTATATCACTTCGGGGGGATTCGGGTCTCTTGGCCCAAGTGTAAAGTGAGTGCTGCGCGCATCTCGAGCCTGTTCCAGCGGGTGGGCCCGTGTATGCCTCCGCCCGTTTTAGTAACCGCAGAAGTGTGGCAAGCCCGCTGAGTCTGTTTTTAGTGTCAAAGCAACTTTCGATGAACATTTTTTGTTTCCATTATGTGTTAAGTCTATGTTACTGTTTATAACTTAGATTTATTACTATAAACAGATGCATTCTACTAACCACAATTAAATTTTAAAAACAAATGGAGATTTGTTACCCTGGAGCATCGGCTGGCACATCGCTGTCCTCACCTCCCAGGTGGTTTCTTTCGTTACTGCCAGGGGTGGCAGAGCTGCGGCGTCCCACCTCCCCTGTGCGCTTCATCACTCTCAAGATGCAGAAAGGGAAGGACACACCTGCCATGGCAGGCGCACCTGAGACACTTGTCTTTATGATGGGACTTGCCCGTGAAAGTCATGGCAGGGACTGGGGCAAAATTCCCTCAAAATCCCCGGCTCTCTCTCTTCCTTGTCAGCCAGAACGTCCTGCCGCATTGGGCCAGGGGCGCGTGGGGAGAAGGGGTCTTTTTTGTAACTACCAATTTGTACTTCTTAATCCCCTCCCCCTTTTCAGCCAGTTCCCCCATTTCTCCTCCCATCTGGTAACCATCAGTTTGTTCTCTGTATCTGAGTCTGTTTCTGTTTTGTTTGTCCATTTACTTTGTTCTTTACATTCCATATATAAATGAAACTATATGGTATTTGTCTCTCTATCTCTGACTTACTTCACTCAGCATCGTACCCTCTAGGTCCATCCGTGTTGTCACAAGTGGTAAGATTTCATTCTTTTTGATGGTTGAGTACCATTCCGTCATATGTATGTACCATAATTTCTATTTCCAGTCATCCATTGACGGACACTTGGGTCTTGTTTGCTTATCCATTCAGCCACCCTGTGTCTTCTGATTGGAGCATTTAATCCATTTACATTTAAAGTAATTACTAATAGGTACTGGTTATTACCATTTTATTATTCACATTTTTTATCTTCAGAAAGTCCCTTTAATATTTCTTGTAAAACTGGTTTGGCGGTGATGAACTTTCACTTTTGTTTGGGAACAAAATCTTTCAGTAACTTTTACTTTACTTTCAGTGAGGATGAACTAGAAGAAGCAAATGGAAACAATCCCATTGACATTGAGATGGATCAAAATAAGGAGAGCAAAAAGGAGGTATTTTTTCCCCTTTAGAAAAGTTGAATGTTATGGCTAGTTCCATAAGTAAGATGTTCTTACTTACTCTGCGTAACATATTAAGTGCTGTGTACAGGGCATCGCAGTATGACATTTTAAACAATACTAAGTTTGCTTTATGGAACTTAGAATTGCGTTTGCCAAGAAACTCGAGTAAAAGAAGTCTTAAAGGAAAAAATAGCATCGGTGAGGACGATTTTGTCTGGGGCGGCAGCCCTCACCGCCTCCTCTCCTGAGCTGCTAGCTCAGTCGGTTAGGAAGGGGGTGCTGGCGGGGCCCAGGCTGCAGCATGGCTTCTCTCACCCTCGTGTCTCCTGAGCCGTCACTGGCCAACAGCTCTGCACACGATTGGTCAGGGGGTGACTGCAGGTGATTGCCGAGGGCTGACAGGGACTCAGTGCAAGTCCTCGTTACTCAGAATCAACAGTGCAGGTTCATGACGAGGGTGAGCTTCACACACAGTGAAGTTTTAGTCATTCACTTCTTAAAAATCATTATGCCAGAGATTTTTAGTCTCTGGATTCAGGGGGCCCACAGATCCCCACAATTGCTAGTGACTGTTTGGGTATATCTGTAACATTGGTTTATCGTAAACTGTCTACTGAGAACAATGGGGTGTCAGGATGATCTTAGCTTTTTAAATGAGGCTTATAGTCTTGCATAATTTCGTCCATTCATAAAATTGAATGAAACATGTGGGGTCCCCAAGGGCCCTCCGAGGAATCCCAGGGCTCTTGTGGCACAGGTCAGAAGCCCCCACAATCCAGCACTACTTCCAGCAGGCCCTGGTAGGGTGCCACCGTGATACCTGCAGGACAGGGTTCCCTAGCCCACTGGCACCTTTCGGCCCCCCAGTCGGGCTGGAGTACTGAATCCCATTGTGGGTATGACTTTTATATGTGGTCACAGGAGAGTTTTTCTGAAAACAAGAGTCTAAAGTGTCAGTAAAATCCCAAAGGATTCTTCCCTATCTCAAAAGATTCTAAAGTTATAAGAACAGCTATTTTAGCATGGAAAAACGAAAGGGTCTAGACACACCTGAACTTTCAAGTGGCATCAGTAATACATGTTTTTTATAGACGAAGCATGAAATACAACTAAACAAAAAGGAGAAGGTGAAAATGACAGTCACACAGAATCACCGTTAACATTTTGGTGACTCTTTTCAGGTGACGTCCTCTGTAAAATGTGTGTGCCCGCATACATAATTCTGAATACTTTCACAAACATAAGATGAATCTTAATATGTAACATTTATAACCTTTTAAATTTACCTTATACATATTTTTATGTCAGATACATTTGTATACACAACTATGTGTTATTCCATCATACAGATCATTCATAATTGAGTAAATGAATCTACTATGGGTTTTTACAGTTTTTTGACCCTGCTTTTTGCTATCATAAACAAAGCTGAACTGCTGATCTCATAATTATTTGTGCACTTTATTTTTTTCATTAGAATTAATTTCTAGAAGTTGAATTGTTGAGTCAAAGTGCTCCAGGTACATTTTTAGTCTCCTTTTGGTTTCACGTATGTATAAGTATGTGTGTGTGTGTGCATGCGTGCACGTACACATACGTACATGCGTATATATATATGTATGTGTGTGTGTGTGTGTGTAAAATAGGACCAGTGTATATGTGTATACACACACACACACACACACACACACACACACACTTGTATATTGGAAACTGGTCATTCTTTCTGGACGGCATTTTGCCAGTGATTTATATGAGTGCTCAAATAAGATTATTTTAAGAGTTAACTAAATTAAGAATGTTTGAGAAACCAAATTATGCTTAGGATTTTTAGTGAGTTCTGTTCTGATGCATTGTTTATTAGGTTCTTCAGTGCAACATTTTAAATGGAAGAGAAAAGGGTTGATTTTATGTTAATTTCTGTAATTCTTATTTGTGTGGCTCAATTTCCGATTCAAAAAGAAAAGTGGTTAAATAATAGTTTGTGTACTAAAATATTATTAAAACAGACACATCATCAATAGGTGATCTTTACTAAACAGAGTGCTATTACAGAATATAGTTTGCTGCCCAATATTTTTATGTATTATTTATTACCACTTGTTCAAGAACTTCTTGCTGCCATTTTAGTTTGCATGGTCTTTTTATTTCAGTCTTTTAAAATATGTAGCAAAAAGTAAGGTATTGTCTTCTCCTTGCCAAGATTTTACTGCATTTCATGTCTGAAGGTTTGGTTTTAGAGAAAGCACTTAAAAAATTAGCAGTCATGCATTTTAAAATGACAACATGTATTTTTTCGAAGCGTGTTTTTAGGGCACAGTTGCCCTAAAAGTTGTGTCATCCCCCCAAAAAAGATGCATAAAAAAGTCATGGTTTCTTATTTATTTTTTTAAACTTCTATGAAGATTTGAAGAATTTAAGTGGCTCTTTATATACTTACTGGATCTTTCTGTGTTCACATGTCCATCTGTACTGCTGGGGACGGTTAGGATAAAATAGCTCCTTATTCATATATATATGAAGCTCACGGGAAGAGAATGCAGACTTTTTCCTTCCTGTATTATTACAGGAAGCCCAGAATGCTTATTGTCAGAGGCTTAAAGTGATAGAATGAGACTGCGTCTGTGCAAGAAGGAAATGAAGTCCACTTTCAAGTTCAGTAGCTAATGTTTTTGTCTGTTTGTAGATGGTAATTCTGATATGGCATGGTCTTTGTCTTAGGTTGTTTGGAGCCATGTTAAGGAAATATGCTTATTACTGTTCAGTTGGCATTTTAATTTTTTTTTAGCGTCTCATTTATCACATGTGTATCGTGCAGGTGCCACCTACTGAGACAGTTCCTCAGATCAAAAAAGAAAAACATAGCACACAAGCTAAAAATAGAGCGAAAAGGAAACCTCCGAAAGGAATGTTTCTTTCTCAAGAGGATGTGGAGGCCGTCTCTGCCAACGCCACCGCCGCCACCACGGTGCTCAGACAGCTGGACATGGAGCTGGTCTCAGTCAAACGGCAGGTACGCGCGGCCCAGTCCGCCTAAGGCATGTCACAGCCGGTGCTTCGGGGCTGCTTGTCCTTCTCGCACTCGTGGGTGTCCTCTTTCCACGTCTCAGAAGGACGTTTTGTTTCCAAGGAACTGGACAGAGGATCTTAGGTACTGACCAGCCACCAACTTTTCTTAAATTAACTTTGACATCGATGTTATGCATGTGTACGTAAATGTGTGTGTTCATGTGCTCAGTGGTGTTTCATATTGCGAACACACCCAGCTGACCTCTGTCTGGATCAAGAAATGGAAGCCGTCCCCTTCTGTCGCCCCTCCCCGCGGGAAACCCGGCACTGCCCCCGAGGCCTCTCCCACTCCCCTCTCGCTCCTTACCCGCTTCTCCCAGAGCTGGCCACTCTTCTGACTTTTAAGACCACAAATTACTTTTATCCATTTGAGGGTTTTCTGTAAAAGTAATATGATGTGATTTCTTTTATGCCTGGCTTTCCTTCGGTGCGTAAGTTCTGTCCATCTTGTATGGAACCGTAGCTGTCATCGCCGCCCCTGCTGTGTGACTGTCCCACAGATTTTATCCCTTTTACTCTCCTAGGCATTTGGGCTATTACCTATTTTTGGACATTACAAATGCTGATGTGAACATTGTTTTGTGTGTCTCGGTGCATCACGTGTACATCGTGGTTGGACATGCACCTGAGAGGACTTGCTGGATTAGAGAATGCACGTGGCCAGCATTGGAACACGGTACTACACGGTTTTCCACGGTGCTCATGTCAGGGTTTCCTAACGGTAGCACTGTTGACGTTTTGGGCTGGATAATCCTGCTTTGCAGGTGGTTGTCCTGTTTGTCCTATGCATCGTAAGATGTTTGGCAGCATCTCTGGCCTCTACCCACTAAATGCCAGCAGCATCGTCCTCCCAACAGCTGTGACATCAGAAATGCCCCCAGGTGGGGGCAGGTCGTTTGGTTCCCCATTGTGAGACGTGTCTTTTCACTCTCTCACTGGTATCTCTGGATGAACAGAAATCCTTAATTTTTGGTGGTTGGATTTCTCATTCTTGTCTTTTACAGTCAGAGCTCTCTGAGTTCTGTTACCCTTCCCTGCGGTCAGGACGGTTTTCTCTCGTGCTGTTTGCCTTTTGCATTTTGACCTTCAGTCTGCCTGGAAGTGTTTTTCTGTGACTGTTGTTGTGAGTAGGGGCAACGCTCGTTTGTTCCACACGAGTATCCACCGAGTCAGCCGAGCCCTCTTCACTAGACAGACTGTCTCCCGCGCTGCCGTGCAGTGGGGCCCCGCTCTGAATCCGTCAGCCGTGTGTGCGCGGGTTGCAAGGGTTCTTATCCTGTTTCCGACGCTGTTCCTTTGGTCCGTTTGTCTAGTCTTCACCGACGCTGTACTGTCTAAGCCACACGCGCATCATAAATCTAGCGGCCTGGTAGCGGAAGTCCTCCAAGATTCTCTTGGCTATTCATGCCGCTTTGTGTCTGCATATACAATTTAGAATCATCTCTTCAATTTTCAGAAAAATAATTCTGCTAGAATTTTTATTGGGATCGTATCGAAATCTATAGATCGAAATAGAGAATTAGATCCACGGACATGATCTATCCCCCACTTACAGAGGTCTTTAATTTCTCTCTTGTTGTTTTCGATGTATAGGCCTTGTATATCCTTCATTAGACTTATTCTTAGGTATTTGGTACTTTTTCGGAGCTCTTGTAAAGGATATCGTTTTTTAAATTAATTCTTTTCTAATTATTTGTGGCTGATATGAGAAATGGTTCATTGTTTTAATCAAATTGTACACAGTACGTTGAAACTGAAAATTCAGCTGAGTAGCCTGGTATTGTCCTTTTATGTGCCCTCTCCCTCCCTCCTCCCGCCAGCCCCACCAAATTCAAGGCAAATCGTCGATTCAAGGTTTACTTTTAGTTTTTGCTGCTCCGACTTTTAATCTCGGTGATTCCCTTGAAAGGTTGAATAGGAGGCCAGCTGCCACTTCACGGATGAGGCGGGTGGGACGGTGGCCCCATCCATCTTCCGGTGCAGGGAGGCAGCACAGCCCAGGACCAGGTGTGCCCCATGGAGCCGGAGGGTTGGCTCCCTGTCTTGGCTGCTGGTACAGCTGCATTCCCGTCTTAGGAGAACCATTTAATCTTCCTGGGCCTCTTTTCAAATGAGGAGATTAACCCTGGCCTTCCTGATCCTCCACGGTGTGTGAGGGCTGCTGTGAGCAGAGCTCTCTGATGTGTTTTCCTGCCCCTCTGCAAGGGGCCTCTTCCCCCGGCCGAGCGAGCTCCTAACACTTGCTGTTTGATGTTCAGGAAAGAGGAAGAGACCCCTTCTTCCACGGAGGCGTCACTGACTCCGTAGACAAAAGATGCTTTGGTTTTCAGAGTCCGGGTCAAGAGCAGGAATTTTGTACTTGACCATAGCTACTCAAAGTCTACAGTGTTGAAGGAGAAAAAGTCAGACTTACTGAGAGAGGAGGCAGGCTGTTTACTTCCCATAACCTTTTCGGGCTACTGCCAGATGCGCTTCCGGACTCAGAGTGGCCGCTTGATTCTGGAGGGCCCGTGTTTGCTTGTATACCCAGGGAACTGTCACCTGAGAGTGACAGAAGACCTGATTTACAACAGCTGACACGGCGAAGGACTGGTTTTAGCGGTGGTGCCGGCATCGTTCTTCTGCTCCGTGGTGCTCTCGGGAGCCCAGATTTCTTTCTGTTGTCTGTTCTCCGTCCTTAGTTTATTGGCCTTTCACTGCTCGTTGCCTCCTGTTGGACGCTGCAGAAGCCATTTCGTAAGCCTCACATCTGCATTCCGGGCAAGGAGAGGAGATGGAGGTGGAGCTAACCCAGCTGTCCCTTCAGCAGGCAAGGCTTTTGCCTTACCAGAAACTGCTTGACTTCCTGGGTGCCAGAGCTTTGCAGGGCGGCTCCTCCTAGGTCTGCAGAACGAATGAGCAGGGGCTGGGAACGCCGGTGAGGTTGCCAGAGAACAGAGCCAGTTGCATTAGGTCTTTCTGAGCGGAGAAGAAAGCAGTCAGACGTTAGAGAAGAATCTCTAAACACGCAATAAAGCAGAAAAAGGAAAGCTGTGTTCAGCTGGGAGGTCTGGGTAAGGCACCAGGCCAAGGTGGCCGATTTTTTTCTCTAAATGCTGATCACATTTGTATCCTGTTCCTCATCCAGCTTGTTGCCACTCTGGCGTCCTTTCCAGTTGGCGTTCAGCTGGCAAAAAACCTCCATTACATTAGGGAACACTGGGTATTTCTGATACGGAGAACGCGTCCGTCAGTACCAATGATGCAGGTTAATGAGAGTTTAGAGCTAACTTTAAGTTCAGAATTTGTGGATGTTTTGCCTTCATTTAATCTCTGTGCTTCTTTAGCTTTTGATTTTAGAGAGAAAAATGCACGTGTTAAAATAGGTTGGTCTCCTTGGGAAATGCACATCGCTCACTACAGTGCCCTTTGTACCCACTTCGGCACCGTGGGCACACGGCCGGCCGCAGCACACAGAGGCATGCTAACCGAAACGCTGCGGGACACGCATAGTGTTCCAGACTCCTGAGTTCTGAGAATTCACGATCCCTGTCGCAAGTTCCTTGGCCTGAGGAGAACTTGGTGACCGTAGTCAGTACCTTGCAGTGTAGTTGGGGTCACTGGTAGCTGAGGGCTCTGGGCAAGAGTCCGTGATTGTGCTGTTGGCATGGTGGCCAGTAGCCACTCGTGGTTATTTAAATTGAAGTTGGGATGAATTAAAATTTAAAAACTTTAAAATTCGATTCTTCAGTTGCATGGGCCACGTTTCAGGTACTTAGTAGCAATATGTGATAGGTGGCTGCCAGGTCGCGTAGCACAGCTTTAGAATGTTTTCGTATCAGAGAGTTCTATCAGATAATGCTGGTCTAGGGGCTTGGCATCACTTTCCCGAAAACTTACTGTGAGTAAATTTCTAGTATTTTCTTCTGATTTACCTTTTTGAAATAAGCTGTAGTGGTTTTCGGTAAATCAAGTTCCTCATTTACGGTTTTACTGTGCGGTAAATTTTGTTCACGTTTCTGGTATCTTTCTTTTTAATTGTCTTTATGTTCCGACGTGGCGTCACCATGAAAAGACTGGGAGTGGGCTGCATTTCCGGTGGGCCTTGTGGCCTTACTCGTGACCGACGGGTCTGTTTCGGTCCTGACAGTTTGGGTTTTGTTTACTTGGCTCTTGGTCCCACAGCGTGGAAAATTTCTTCCTGTACATCTTCCTCCCTTTTAAAACGTTTAGGAGTGAGGCATCGGAGGGAGGGTAGGGAAACTGGGACTGTGGGAAATGTGAGTACTTGGAAATGGGATTTTCTTAGACCGTGGAAGTGTAGAGAGTCTCGTGAGACAGAGCCGTCGAGCGCTCGGTGGCCGGCCCTTCAGCGCCATGTCCACACCGTGTCCTCCCGCCTCCACAGCCCCGGCCTCCTCCACCTGCCTCAGGAAGGTTTGTGCTCTCGAGGGCGCCCGCTATCCTCCCGCCTCCACAGCCCCGTCCTCCTCCACAGCCCCGTCCTCCTCCACAGCCCCGTCCGCCTCCACAGCCCCGTCCTCCTCCACAGCCCCGGCCTCCTCCACCTGCCTCAGGAAGGTTTGTGCTCTCGAGGGCACCCGCTGCTCACTCATGTCTTTGCTGTTTTACGCGGGAAAATGACCGTGTTGCTCCCCTTGCTTTCTTATTTGCTTATGTGATTATTTAAAAATGGCACCAGGGTCCAAGCCCCCCAGTGCTTGGCGCAGAGGAGAGGGGCCCACTCTGTGACTCGCGCAGAGCTGGCGAGCAGCCGTGATTGACGGGTCGTTCGTGGTGTTCACGTCTTTCGGTTAGAACAGGGTGAAGATGCAGCACGTCGAATCCAGGCAGTAACGTGGAAGAGACGATGCGAGAAAATGAAGGCGGTACAGTCGGTGAAAGTTAGGCTTGTGGAGAGCTGGCGGGCCGCCGCCTTCCCCCCGCACTGGAGCAAGCAGGCGCCTGCCCCGGGCCCGCAGTGCTGGGGTGCGGAGGCCCACGGCCCGCGCCCCTCCTGCCTGCACCCCGCCTGCCTGTTACTCAGCCTGTTTCGCCTTAGTTTTTCTTTGTTTCCTTTATTTATTTCTGTTTTCATGCCTTTATAAAAGTTGTTCACTTTTAAAATGAAAATCTTCTTTCTCGTAGATTCAGAACATTAAACAGACAAACAGTGCTCTCAAAGAGAAGCTTGACGGTGGAATAGAACCGTATCGCCTTCCAGAGGTAGGAGCTTGTTAGCATCATCTCAGAAGCCATACCCATTTTACGCGTTTAAGAATATAATATCCTCACTACATTTCCAGCCACATCTGTTAGAAAAGTATAGATGCCATTTTATAAATGTAGTTGATGTTAAAATTCTGATCTGAGAAAAGGATTCATTAACCTTCTTAAGGACATACCATCTCTAAACGTGGTGTCCTGATGTGACTCATTTGCATACCCAGGTCATTCAGAAGTGTAATGCACGCTGGACCACGGAGGAGCAGCTTCTGGCTGTACAAGGTATGGGGCTTCTCCTTGCAGAGCTGGGCGCAGGGCCAGCTGTAGGAGACACTGCCCGCCCTGTGCCCAGCACGGCTCATGCCGAAACAGACCCTTGGAGGATTGCAGTCCTGTAGTGGACATCGTTTTGGCCCCGTTCCCGAGACCCCCTCTGGGCTTTACTTGTTCCCTTTCCCATGTCTCACAAGATGTGAAATTAATGTGAAGGCGTCAGTTTCTAAAGGCGCAGGTAGTCCATTTTAATAGCTACACGTTGGGTTCTGAATAGCCACGAAGTACAAAACCCCAAAAGAAGCAGAGCGTTAGGGTTTTAAGTAAGGTCGTAGGGGTGTTCTAGGTCTGGGGTTCCTGAAAAGACGAACACAGAATGCCCACAACCATAGAATAATTGCTGGGTGACTTCAGCTGTCGTGTGACATCAGATGGCAAGGTGGAGGTTTCTGGATACAGGGTCGCACTGAAAAGCTTCGACCCGTCATCTCTGGGATAGGTCTATCCAGACTTGACTGCTTTTTCCCGCTGGTATTAAGGTAGCACCTGCTGTTAGAGGCCTGTATGTTTCCTTACTGGACACGAGTAAGTCTCAACTGTGGTTTTGTAAATTGTTTTTCTCTTGTATTGAAAAAAAAATGCTCTCTTACATCCTTAGCCATCAGGAAATATGGCCGAGATTTTCAGGCTATCTCAGATGTGATTGGGAACAAATCAGTGGTACAAGTGAAAAACTTTTTTGTAAATTATCGACGCCGCTTCAACATAGATGAAGTTTTACAAGAATGGGAGGCAGAGCATGGGAAAGAAGAGACCAACGGGCCCAGTAACCAGAAGCCTGTGAAGTCTCCGGACAGTGCTATCAAGGTTCCTGAAGAGGAAGACGAGGTAAATCTGAAAGAACGTGATCTCTTCTCTGCCAGAGTCATGCTCAGTAGCCCAGTTAGTTTCTTCGTGGGCGGCCATTTCTGGCTGTAGAAAAGTTTTTAGGTTTTAGCTATGTCGGTAACTTGACATTGGCCTGTAAATACCGTAATATGTGTGTTGAGTTCATTCAATTTTTGGTCACATTGGAATTTCTGGACAAATCGCTAATTTCATCCTGGTTTCCTCCAGCCACAGAATATTCCACATTACTAGTATTTCTTTAGATACAGTAAGAACTCTGCTGTAAGACCGTAAGTTGGAAGTGCCTCGGGGCGTGTCAGCGAAGCTCAGCCACGTGAAATAAGTTGTCATCTCGTCGTGAGGTTAACAGACTCACTGGTGAGTCTGCACAGCTGGCCACGTCCTCTGGGTCTGTGTCCGCTGTACACATCCTCCGCCTTCGATGCCGTTTAGGGCTAACCAGCTTACATGTTTGATGGGGACAATTCTAGGTCCCGTGGTTGACTGAACTTCCGGGATTACGGCTGGCATTCTAGTAATCTCCAAGCTAGTGGTACGGATTTCATCAGCCCAATTAGCAGAGATTAGGCAAGATTATCGAGGCTGCAGGGAGCCATCTGCCACCTCCCTGCTTCCTGTGACAGCGCCGTTGCTGTTCCCCCACCTCACCTGGCCTGCCCAGCTGCAGTTTACTGCCTCGCAGTCCCGCAGAGGAGGGTGGCTGGGCGTAGGTAAGCTAGTTGCCGACCACGTTACGTTTGAGTTTGTTCACTGACTTGGTGATTTAAGGATTAAGGTAGTTTCCAAGGAGAGTCATGTTCGTATCAATCTTCCCACAGCCATGCAGGATGATTTGAAATTACCTATTTTCTGTCGTCTGTGCTTCCTTTGGAAGAGCCCGGCTGTAGGAGCAGCCCAGAGGCCCTCCTGCCCTGGGCACGGGAGTGAGTGCACTACGGGGACAAGGGAGAGGCTCGGTGACAGCATGATGTCCACACAGGGCTGGGGCCCGCTGGTCAGAAGAGTTACAACATAGACTCCTTAGAGCCTTCCAGCAGGAAACCTTTGTATTAAGCGCACAAAATCCATGTTGCCAATGTAAGGGGGTCACGCCGTGTGTGGACCAGCCTGCGACTTGGACCAGAGCAGCATAGGAGCAAAGCGAAAGTGTTTGTATCTTTGGCAGCGATCTTTGTCCCAGCGCTAATGGCCCTTTTAGCAGTAAATTAACTTTTTCAAATCGGGACTCACTGGGAAGCACTGAAAGGCTGCAGGTGACCAGGGGAGGGACATCAGAGTTTGTGGGAAAGACCGCGTTTCATGAGACGTTTTCCAGCTTCGGTCTGGGGAGCACTGCCGTCAACGCCATGTGAAACAGGCCGGCAGTGCGTGCGGGGCCCGCGGGACGTCCGTTCTCGCGTGCGTGCCCGCCTTTTCTCACGCCTGGCGCACTTACCAACTGGCTCAGGTGGGTCAGTTACTTCTCTTCCCCTTATTAGTCCAGAAGGTGCAACCTTAATGGTCCACTTACGATGTCGGTTTCACATCAGAACACCCCCTTCCCTCCCAGCCTGGCAGCGTCGGCCCCCCCGTGACAAGCCCCCCATCAGGCAGGTCTTTGGTGTCAGGTCCTCCACGTGTCTGTCTCCCCAGCCTTCTCTTCAGATAGAATGTGATTATCTAACTTATAAAGATTATACACTAGAGATATTTCCCTAAAAATTTTTCACCTCTTTGGTCATATAAAACACACTGTGTCTCACACTCACTCTCTCACACGTGCCTGTGTTTCCTTTTCTTAGTCACTTGCTTTTTCGGCTGCTGATAGCGTAGCCCTTGCAGTCTACCAGCCTGGTCTTCCACCCTCCATTTACAGGAGGGAGTTAATCGGTAAGGACCAGCTGCCTTTCTGGCCGCAGAGGGCCTGAGGGGACTTGTTAGGATGCCGGTCGATCCGATCGTCCTGTCTGGTCAGTGCTCAGAACTTGGTGTCCTCATAATTCCGCATTCCTGTTTTTCCTGTTTACTTCGTGGTGTCCAGCAGCTAAGAAAGACCGCTGGTGTCCTCTCTGCCCTCTGCCCTCAGGTTTTGCGTCTTGTGCAACACACGCATGGGGGAGGACGGACGTCAGAATCGCCAGAAGTCCTGGCACAGTGGGCCCTCGCAGAACACGCTCGATAGGTTCTGCGACTTTAAGTGAAAAAGCGTAACAGAACCGGTATCACTGTCGGCTGTGGGAATAGGCAAGCGTTGGGAAGAACAAGGCAGTCTGCCCACCCCCGAGGGAAATCCACATGGAGGACCTGCTGTAACACTGTGGCATAAGGGCTCGCTCTCCTTCGGGGCTGAGAAGAGAGGGGAGCCCAGGGATCTGAGCTTTTGGGGTCCAGAGTTTCTCCATGTGGCCAAGGATGGGCTGTGGGGCCAGGGTATCAGAGAGGGCACCGAGCGGTGACAGGTTGGAGATGAGGTTTAGGATTCTCACCTCAAATTATACAATGACTCCGTGCGTAGCTCACGAGAAGTGTCTGGCTCGGGACTAACGGCGGTCCCCGTCCCCCGACCCCACCTGATGGAGCAGCCATTTGCAGAATGTGCCGGGTTTGCGTTCGTAGCCTGGTGGTTTCCCAGGCGTGAGACACGGGAGGGTCACAGTGAGCGCTGAGACGCGGCCACCCTTAGGTGTGGGTGTAGGAGCCAGGCACGAGCAGGAGAGCATGGAGCTCCGTGCCTCGGAGGCTTTAAGGGAGAGCCTGCGACCTGAGCGCTTTTGTCCCTGTGTCCCAGCAGGAGCCAGCGGCTGCTCGTGGGCTGCTGGGGTGCCACGGTGGCCGGGCCGGGCACTGCACTCGCTGCCCTTTTCAGGGGGGCGTTATTTACTTCCATGAAGTAGACATTACTGTGCATATTCTGCAGACGAAAGTGAAGCTCGGGCGGAATGGTGGCTTGTCCAGGGGCGCGCGGCTAGGAAGTGGCAGGGCCGGGACTGGAGCCCGAGACATCCAGCCGCGGAGGCCACTGGCTCCCGCCCTGCCCGCGCCCTGCCCGCCTGGGCGCAGCCACCTCCTGGGGCGGGCGTGCGTCTCCGCAGCGGGGCCGGCCGCCCTCTGACCCCCTTGTCGTCCTCTCCTCAGGCCGCTTCTGTTCTCGACGTCAGATACGCATCTGCCTCCTGAGAAACTCTGGTAGCTCCGAGCACTTGGTATGGACGACTGTGTTATACCCAGGATATCAGGTATTACAAGACATCACCTAGCCATCTGCATCACATCTCCGTGGACAAGCAGCTATTACCAAAAAAGGCGTACACTTCCAGTCCTGTGCTACATCTGCCTTAATTCCTCGCTCGTTCCTCCATGTTGGCGCCGCCTCCCACACAGCTCCACCGCATCTCACACGCTGCCTAAGTGCTGGGGGACCTCGTGGCCGGCACCCTCCTCTAACTCTGGGGACCCCCTCCCCGGTCGGAGCTCCCGAGCCGTCAGTGGCAGCTCTTGCCATCAGCAGCCGCAGAACAGGTGGTCGGCGCGGGAGCACGGCCCGCGGTGTCTACCTTGTGCATAGTGTACTTTTCAGAGTTAACTGTGACCCTGTCAGCCTTCTAGAAATTGCTCTCGTTCTTTTCTGAGGCATCCACCTAAGTGATATCATGCTTCTTTGGAAACCACAGTATATTGGCAGACTGCATCATCACCTTTATCGTGCCAAACGCCCTGATTCAACCCCATTTCCCCGAGGAGGGTAGGATTACGGCTCAGAACGTGGTTGGCTTCCCCCCCGTCCGCCCCGCCCAGCGGCTGGAAAGCCACTCGCTGCAGCGCTCCGTGGACACCGAGCTTCACAGGGATGCGGACCTCAGCGCTTTCTGCCTTCAGCTCTCAGCGTCGCGACCCCAGGATGGGTGCCACCCCGTCTTCTCCCGACTCCCCACCACCCAACTCCAAGAATTTGGTCCACACCACTGCACCTGGTGCTCGTACATTGGAATCGGTGCCTTCTCCTTTGGCAACCACGTTATCCATCCTTTTCTGTTTTAGTGTCTTATTTCTTCCTTCAAGTTTATTGCTTGCCAAAGACGACATCACTGAGATGCGGAGGCGGGAGAGCCTGCTACAGATGCCGACAGAGTGCAGACTGCAGGTGTCACTTAGCGCGACAAGGGCATCCGAGTAGCTGGCGATGGGTTTGTAAGAGCTACACGTTTGTCCTCCGACCTCTTGGTTTGCCTGGCCTCGTTCATGTCACTCCACATCTCCTTCTGTGTCCTCCGTGTGCTGACGTGACCGCGTAAACACCATCCCCCCTCTTTTCGTATTATTAGTACAGGACAGAAATGGTTAGTTTATCGGTTCTAGTGAGACCAAGATGGAAAGAAACGATCTGCGTAGTGGTATGTAATGCCTTTTCGTTGGGCTGGGAACAAGTGAAAATCTCTAATAAATGTCCCGAGGCTTCCAGAATCATTTTTATTCTCTTACCGGTCCATGGACCTGCCTGCGGGGGTGAGGGCTGGACTGTCGAATTTCATTCTGCCTCCCTGCCTCCCCCCTCGCCCCACAATCATTTCGGCCTGCACTAAATATGGTATAAAGGAGCTTTTTGTTGTGTTTTGCATCATTTAAATATTTGTCCTGCTTTCAATACCAAAAAGAAAAAAATGCAAACACTTTAAGGCAGCATAAACAGAATTCTTAAGAATTTAAAATATGCAATTAAAATTTGAGTATGTTTTGACTCCCAAGCACCTTGCCTCCCACCCCCACCCCCCCACCCCCGCAGGGAGCTGATTTTCTCTTTAGAAAGATCAGCTAGAAACATAGGTTT